CTGTGCGTCGCCGTTAAATCTCAATAACTCAGATTACACTTGTGAGCCACATGTTGCACTTTAGTTTTATGGTTTTAAAGGTGTTGATGTTCCTCTTTTCAAAGTGTTTGTGAACACATTTTAATCCATGCCGGGCTGCACAAATCCTTTTTTTATTAACACAAAGTAAAAACTCTGTAAAGTAAAAACTGGTCTAAAACAGCAGCACAGGATGTTTACTTTAATAAAATAATCCAAAATCTGCTAAATTTAGCTAGAATCATAAACAGTTTTTAATGTTTTAATCAGTTAGTTTTGTTTCTGTGTCCATCAGGATCAATCACACCGTTTCATTAAGTCTTCAGTAATAAAGATCAAATCTGATTGATTTAAATCAGGAAATAGAAGAATCTCTTTTACAGGACTAAAATATTTTGTACGTGAAATGTGACTTAAAGCTTCCAGATGTCAGACTGTGAATCCTGTTGTGTCTCTATAATAATTCAGATTATTGATCAGATTATTGATCAGCAGACAGTGAACAGGTTGTAGTGGGTAGCTTTGTTCCTCCCCCTTCCCCCCCCCTCCTGCCTGCCTTGGACTGATTTCTATGTGTTTCTAATTAGGGATGAGGGTCAAAGGGTCTCTCTCTCTCTCTCTCTCTGTCTCTCTCTCTCGCCTCTCTATCTCTCTCTCTCTTCCTCTCTCATCTCTGTCTCTCTCTCTCTGTCTCTCTGTCTCTCTCTCTCTGTCTCTATGTCTTCATCTCTCTCGTCTCTCTCATCCTCTTCTCTTGTTCCTAGGATTTCTGCCTGTTAAAGGCAAGTTTTTCCTTGCCCTGTCTCCAAGGTCTTGCTCCATTCCTTGCTCATGGTGGTACTGTTGGGTCTCTGTAAATGTTAAAAGGAGTTCGGTCTAGACCTGCTCTATTTGAAAAGTGTCCTGAGATAACTTCAGTTATGAATTGGCGTACTTACTTGTGTATTGCAGTAATTTCGGCGCACTGACCGGCTTATTTTTCACTGAATTTTATCACGATATTAGTAAAAATGTTTCATGCGAGGTGGAAAATCGCTGAGTCCTCCTACTGACGGGATGTTCTGGTGGTCCCTCCCCTTCCGCTAAGTAGAAAAAATGGCGCCCGCTGAGTGTGAGAAGTGTCCAACGATCCACATTGAACTTTCTGAGCGTTATGAACCATCCGGGTGCTCACAGTACAATCTGCCTCACTGACAGTTTACAGAACGTTACATAGAAGCTTTAAAGCCCTTAAGGGACTTCATTTTGTATTGATTCTGGCGCCCCCTGTGGCCAAAAGCAGTAGTGTTTTTACCGCCTTGTTTCATTGATTTCAAGGGGAATTAATGTTTAACTAAATCGAGAGTTATTACTCAGCTCTGCTACTTAAATACAGTTTTCCTCTCTGTCTGCAGTTTGTGTCCTCTGTCTGTTATCTGTGTTTGTCCACATGTTGCAGCAGTTTATCACCGGCTGTTTATTACGTCTCACCCGGTCGACAGCGGTGCAATCAGAGAGCAGCCCCGGCCTGTATGTACTGTTCGATAGTGCTGTTTGCTTTTATACTGAAGTCAACAGAGACGGACACAGATAAGGCTGCTGTGGCTTCAGTTTATACACTGACGTTAAAGAATCTGCCTATTTTTTATTCTCATGAGGAAGCAGAGAGGTACTGTCGGGAAGGAACTTCACTTCCTCAAGTTTTAATAAGCTTTATTTTAAAAATTTTGATTTTTGTTGTAAATATTCAGCTAGCTGGTTAGCATGCTAACTTCAGTAGATATCTCTGTAAAACAATATATACAGCATCAAAACTGTTTCTGTTTCTTCACATTATGTTGATACGTTTAGTTCATATTTTAATGTTTTAAACTCTTACATTTCTACATATTGCACCTTTAAAGTAAGTTCAACACTTTATGAAACTTTTGGGAATTCAAATGTTCACCAGTGTGGAAAATTACTCAGGAAGTACTCAAGTATAATTTTGAGGTTTTTGTACTTTACTTCATTATTTTATTAATCAGCTGTATGGAGAGTCTATTTCTCTTTATCCTGGACTATTAGTTCACATGAAACAACCAGATGATTTTATTCTATTTTTATAATCAATTCAAGTTACAATCAAAAATAAGTGTTTCTTATTTTTCCTACAGTTGAATTAATTAATGCGCTGAAATAAACTAAATGAAAACAAAGCTTAGACAGCTTTCTGTCTCATAGCATAACGTTAGCTCTCTGGCTTGTAAAATAACTTCTTATTAGCATAACTTATTTAGCTTATAATAGTTTTATTTACTGGAACAGTGAACAACGTTTAGTATATTATGGGATGGATATAATTGTTCCAGGTATTAGTCAGACCCTCAGTTGCTTGTGAAAAATGCATGGAAATATAAACAAACAGTCTTTGTTTTTTCTTTGGCAAGTGACCACAGTATAAACAGGATAATGTCTGCTATCAGGACTTAATGGACAAACAATTTCAGTATATTTAGTTGTAATAATTAAAGCCCCTCTGCTGGAGCATCAAATAATCTGCAGATCAACTGATAATGAAACTAGTCTTTAGTTGCAGCCTCTATCTGTGGTACTGTAACGTACCTGAGTGGAGTATCCGAGGACAGGGTCAGGTTACCTGGTGATAAATGTTACAGTAGCTGTTGGACGTCAGCCAGTCTCTGATCACAGTGTAACCTAATAACTGTGACTGCCGGTCAGACAGGTAACAGGTGAGGCTGCTGGGTGAAAGTGAGGAGGGAGTCCTATAAATAGAGAGGTTTCCCTGCAGTCCATACGAAGTGCTGCTCACGTCACGTCCTGCAGATAAGCTGCTGTCATTAGATCCAATGATCCCTGAAATACAGCCGGAGTCAGGATAACCACGTTCACGTTTATTTATTATGTACAGTTCACATTAACGTCTGTAAATGAGTTCATTAATGAGACAAACGAGACGTTCCCGACTTCCTCTGC